TGATGGACCTCTGCTCCATGTTTATCCAGTTTCCTCTTGTAGCCGCTGCCACCTCCCATGGCAGTGAATTCCATGTGTTCATCAGTCTTTGGCTTTGGAACAGGCTCCCTCCCCCCCCCCCCATTCTGGCACCAAAACATTGTGTAGGAGGGAGTAAGGGTTGGTGGAAGACAGTGGTTCCATTGGCTAGTAGCTGTTGAGAAGCCTAAGTGGATGGACAGTGGACCTCTGGCTGCCAGGTATGGAGGGGGGGGGGGTACACAGCCCCAGCGCCCTGTCCCCTGGGAGCAGCATTTCAGGAGAAGGCAGGAGGAGAAGCTGTGCTCCACTGATGGCGACCCACCATCAGATCCCCTGCAAGTTCTGATCCCTGACCTGTGAGCTTTGCTGAGGCTTGGAAAGTGAGAGAGAAAAGCAAGAAGGTCACAGTCCAGTAAAGCCAAACACAAAAAGAAAACTGTGCAAAAATTGCTGCAGCTTATGCATTTGTTGTTGTTGTTCAGTCGCACAGTCGAGTCCGACTCTTCGCGACCCCATGGATCATCTCCCGCCAGGCCCTCCTGGCTTCCGCCGTCCTCTGAAGTTGGCTCAATTTCATGTTCGTTGCATCGATGACACTGTCTAACCATCTCATCCTTTGCCGTCCCTGTCTTCTTTGACCTTCAATCTTTCCCAGCATCAGGGTCTTCTCCAGTGAGTGCTCCCTTCTCATTTGGTGGCCAAAGTATTTGAGCTTCAGTTTCATTATCTGGCCTTCCAGGGAACAGTCAGGGTTGATTTCTTTTAGGATTGACTGATTTGATCTTTTTGCAGTCCAAGGGACTCTCAAGAGTCTTCTCCAGCACCATAGTTCAAAAGACATACATAGTTCATACAGACATACAATCACAGAAGTCTTCACAAGGTAATGATGACGAAACTCTCCGGATTAACCATCTCCGTTTCGTAGCGCCTTCATGATTGCTGTATTTTTATGAAAGGGGTTGTTGATCTCTGATGAAGGCTCTACGAAACGGAAATGGTTAATCCAGAGAGTTTCGTCATCATTACCTTGTGAAGACTTCTGTGATTGTATGTCTGAAAAAAACAAATGGACTTTCGGCATTACATGGAAATATAGACTTTTGTGATATCAACTGCAGCAATTTTTGCACAGTTTCCTTTTTGTGTTTGGCTTTACTGAGGCTTGGAAGGTGGCCTCTCCTGGAACAGGAAACTGACCGGTGCTCACCTCCAGACCGAGGGGGGCTGCTGGTCCAGCTAGCCCCACATTGCCTGCTCTGACTGGAAGAGACAGTCTTACCTGCCGCCCAGGTTCCTGGAGGAGGGGGTGGTGGTGCTGGGGACTGAATGTGGGGCCTTCTGACTGCCCGTTGTGTCCTTCCTCTGGGCTACAGCCCCCTTTTGCGCCATGTACACCGCTGGGACAGCCGGCTGAGGATGGTTTACTCCCATGGTCTTTCCGGACAGAGGATTAAAAGGATACAAATATGTCCAGGGAGAGAACGCCCAGGCTGCCGATCAGCCAGGGGAGGTGGTGGACAATGTAGCTGGCCTCACCCTGGCCCAGGTCTGGGTTTTTCAGCAAGACGCTCACGCCGTACAACGTGTTCCCGAGCATCACCAGGGCAAAGAGGGAGTAGGAGATGCCGCTGGTGGACTTCCTCTGGAACTGCAAGGAGAGAAACACGGTTCAGTCCACGGCCCGGGTGGGAAAGGCTACGCCTTTGCATCAAGGGGCCTGGTGGCCCTGCATCTGGAATCCGGGGTGCTGTTCTGTTCACCCCCATCTCAAAAAACAAAAAAAAGGAATCTGCCAGAGCTGGGAAAGAGACAGAAGTAGGGGACAGTCCAAACAGTGGAGAGGTTGAGGAACCTCCCCTACAAGGAGGAGTGAAAATTCAGGGCTTGTTACTTTCTGGGGGGTGGGAGAGAAAATACTAAGAAGGGACGGGGATGCTATTGGAGAATTCTTTTTTTTTTTTTATAAAGTTTATTTTAAAGTTTCCAATATACAACATATTCTCGATTTACATTTATCATTCTTATGAGTCACACATAGTCTCTTTATCCAACCATACATAAAACCTTCTCCATCTTTTTTCAAATATCTCTTTACTAGAACCTTTCAATAATAAGCTTAATTTGTCCATTTCGGTTACCGATAACATTTTGTCGATTATATCATTTCTAGAGGGTAGATCCTCTTGTTTCCATTTTCTGGCTAATAGTATTCTAGCTGTTGTAAGAAAATATGTAATTACATACTTATTTGTTTTAGTATATAATTCTGGGAGCATGTTTAGTAGGGCTATCTCTGGCACAAATGGAATTGGTTCTTCAGTTATTTCATTTATCATTCCAAATACTTTTTTCCAGTAACTCTGAACTTTCTCACACCTCCACCACATATGTATAAATGTTCCTACGTTTCTTTTACATTTCCAACAGTTCTTATTAGGGGTGCCATAACACTTTGCTAATTTTTCCGGTGTCCAGTGCCATCTGTAGAACATCTTGTATATATTTTCTTTATATGGGATTGCACGCATAAATTTTATCGACTGCCATGTTTTTCCCCATTGTTCAGCCTCTAAAGTATATTGGAGGTCCTTTGACCACTTAAGCATAGTTCCTTTAATCGTATCATCTGCCAAATAGTCTGACATTAATAATTTGTACAGTTTTTGTATTAATTTGTCACTTGAGGACAACCAAATTTTGTCAAGGTCGTTTTTCTCTTTGTAGAAACCCACTTTTTTATCTCTGTTATATCTTGAATTTAATTGCATTATATCCCACCAAGTGAGTTTCACTTTTTGCTTATCTAATTGATCTACACTTTTCAGATTTTCATTATCATCTAGTATGTCTTCGTATGTGACTTGCCACCTTTTCTCCATCAGAGTCGGTATCATTTCTGCTTCAATCGGTGCTACCCATTTAGGTGTTTTTAGATAGTATTTTGATTTTATTTCCTTCCAAATACCTATTAAGGCTCCCCTTATCGTGTGGTGTGTATAGTTCTTTGGTGTTCTACATTCATCATACCAGATATATTTATGCCATCCTGACGCTAGATCATGTCCTTCCAGTTTTAACAGTCTAGGGTTTTCTAGTGTTATCCAGTCTTTAATCCATACGAGTGCCGATGCTTTGTAGTATAAATTCCAGTTTGGCACTCCGAGGCCACCCGTCTCTTTTTTGTCCTGCAGATATTTATGGTTGATTCTTGGCTTTTTATTATCCCATATAAATCTATTACATGTCTTTTCTAGGTCTTTAAAATATAGTGTTTTTCTTAGAATTGGTATATTTTGGGCCAGGAAAATGAACCTAGGTAAGACGTTCATCTTCACAGCAGCAATTCTGCCCATCATGGATAGTTTTAGATCTTTCCACCTATTGGAGAGGTGGAAAGCTATTGGAGAATTCTGTGATTATGAACGAATTTAGAGCCCACTGGGGGGCACCTTTAAGGCCGACAAAGGTTTATTCAAGGTCTGAGCGTTCGTGTACCTTTGTCGGTCTTAAAGGTGCCCCCACAGGGCTCTAAATTCGTTCTGCTGCTTCAGACCAATATGGCTGCCCCACCTGGAGCTATGCTTATGAACACTGGAGGCAGAGAGAAAACAGCAGGGAAAGAATCCTCTCCCCTGTAGTACAGAGAAACACTGGATCACCAAAGAAAATGGGCAGTAATCTCACAGCGGCCAGAAGGAAGCATCTGATCACTTTAGGCACAGTTGAACGCGTGGGACTCACCACCACACGATGTAAAATGAGGTGCGCTAATGATATCCCCTTTAAAGGGGGCACACTGGTATGAGTCAGGACGCAATATTCCCTCTAAGCTGAGTTAGTGTGAGCTAGCTCACAGTTTTTTAGCCTCCGGCTCACACATTTTTGTCCTAGCTCAGGAAGGAGGGCTCCAGAGCAAACTAGTTTATGCAGCAGCCAAATGGCTCGCTCACAACTTTAATGCCAGTAGCTCACAAAGTAGGATTTTTGCTCGCAAGACTCCACAGCTTAGAGGGAACATTGGTCAGGAGCGATGCTCCCTCTAAGCCGTGGAGTCTCATGAGCAGAAATTCTACTGTGTGAGCTCCTGGCATTACAGTTGTGAGTGAGCCACTTGGCTACTGCATCAATTAGTTTGCTCTGGAGCCCCATCCTTCCTGAGCTGAGGCAAAAATCCATGCGCAGAGGCAGCCTGCCTTTGAATGCTAGAAGCTTGGGGACAGCTAGGGGCGGTCTCTTGCCTTTATGCTCCTCCGATCCAGCCAGGCAATTCTTCACTTACATTCTGGATTTTGCTGGTGGGCCTCTGGACTAAGATTCCGGCTTGGCCCACAGTCAAGCCTTCCCCCCGTCCATGCCACACTTGAGGGATCTGTTTATTGTATTTCCCCCCCTCTAACCTCTTTTACCAACTCAAGACCTTTGCAACGTATCTTGCTCAGCTTGGACTGAAGAAAGAGTTCCCAGCAAGCCCTAGACCCCAGCAAGTTTGGGCAGACGTCTCTCCAACTGTGGCTTGGGGGAGCGGGTTCCCTCTCAAAATGCACTGGCTCGAAATGCTTACGTTCTTGTAGATCTGGGGGACGCGAGAGAGCAGGTACAGCAGTGATGAAACGGACCCGATCACAAAGCCAATGATTTCCTTCTTGGTGAAGGGCTGCAGGAGAAAGCGGCAGTTAGGGGAAAGGCCACGGCTTTCTTAAGAACCTCCTGTCCAGAAGAAGCCACGGCAGAGCTTCTGGTCACCCCCATCTCCAAACAAAACCCCCAAACCCCACAAGATCTCCTAAGGCTGGGAAAGGGGCCACCAGAATGAGGCTGGAGAACAAGGAAATAGCGTCAGAGTAGGCTTTTCAGTGGCAGGAAGCCAGGACTGAGAAGGGACACGCTTGACCAAGGAGACGAAGGTTCTATGTGGAATAGAGAGAATATTCCAAATCCTTTGCATACTTAATTGTAGATTTTCCGGGCTGTGTGGCCGTGGTCTTGGGCACTGTAGTCCCTGAGGTTTCGCCAGCAGCTGTGACTGGCATCTTCAGAGATATAAGAGGAGGAGGAGATTGGATTTATACCCTGCCCTTCACTACCCAAAGGAGTCTCAGAGCGGCTTACGAACTCCTTTCCCTTCCCCTCCCCACCACAGACACCCTGTGAGGCAGGTGGGGCTGAGAGAGCTCTGACAGAAACTGCTCTTTTTCAAGGACAGCTGTGCCAGAACTACGGCTTGCCCGAGGTCATCCAGCAGGTGCAAGTGGAGGAGTGGGGAATCAAACCTGGTTCTCCCAGATTAGAGTCCGCGCACTTAACCACTACACCAAACTGGTTCAGCTTGGACTGCGGAGAGAGAGAAAGATGAAGTACTCTGTGTCAATTGTATGTCACGGCCATAAAGCCCGGAAAATCTACAACTACTAATGAACTCCGGCCGCGAAAGCCTTCGACAACCTTTGCATGATTAATATGTTGCATTCACAAGATGCAGCGAACAGGAGGCTGGGCTGGGTCACAGAGGGCCAGTGGCTACTAGCCCTCTCAGCTAAGCAGAGCAGCATCTCTGGTGACAAGGGGAGGGAGAGGCCTGCCTGGAAACCTCCGGGAAGAGCGCCATTGATCTATGCCGCAAACAGGAAGCAGAACGATGTGGGGTTTTGGCCAGATAGGGCTCCTCCGACGTCCCACTATGGCAGGGGGGCTCCTTTTGTGACCAGCTCTCTCTGAGCTACAACTTGTGCTAGATGGCCCTGAAGCCTCCCTCCCTCCCTCCCTCCCTCCCTCCCTCCTTGGGCTCCTCCAGCAGGTCAGTGGCTCTAAACAGAATCGGGTAGCTGGGCCCAGCTTAGGGGCTGGCTATCACGCCCACCAGACCGTGCCACAAACCAGCCCCCCGCCCCTTTCCCAAAAGGGACGTGCCTCCCATCCGGATTCCTCCGTCTCCATGGAGAGAAGCATTCTGCCTTGGAACAGCCGGGTTCTCTCGCTGCTGGGAGGCACGGGTCTGCCCAGCAGGGACGTTGTCGACACCGTTCCCAGCAAAAGGATGGTAAAGACGGCATTAATCGGGGCCGAAACTGCAGGTGGAGAGAGAGAAAGAGAAACTGGGTGAGCACCTGCGTCCTTTCTCAAGCAGATTTTGCTTTAATTTTTCCTCCAAAGTAGTAGTGGTGGGGGGGTGGGGGGGAGGAGGAGGAATAATAATTTATACCCCGCCCTTCACTTACAAACTCCATTCCCTTCCCCTCCCCACAACAGGACACTCTGTGAGGCAGGTGGGGCCGAGAGAGCTCTTTCAAGAACTGCCCTTTTTCAAGGACAGCTCGTCAGAACTAGGACTTGCCCAAGGTCACACCAGCAGCTGCAAGTGGAGGAGTGGGGAATCAAACCTGGTTCTCCCAGATTAGAGTCTGCGCACTTAACCACCACACCAAACTAGGGAAGGAAGGCACCTCTGCCATAGAGTCCACCCTCCAAAGAAGAAAAGAGACTGGATTTATACCCTGCCCTTCACTACCCAGAGGAGTCTCAGAGCGGCTTACAATCTCCTTCCCCTCCCCACAACAGACAGACACCCTGTGAGGTCGGTGGGGCTGAGAGAGCTCTGGCAGAAACTGCTCTTTTTCAAGGACAGCTCTTGTCAGAACTAGGACTTGCCCAAGGCCATCCAGCTGGTGCAAGTGGAGGAGTGGGGAATCAAACCCGGTTCTCCCAGATTAGAGTCCGCGCTCCTAACTATTACACCAAAACTGATTTCTCACCAGGTTTGTTGTTTTCATACACGAATAAATGAAACTGCCTCAGTAGAGAGGGTCTGAACTCTTCTCTGCACCTGATTTGCTCTTTGGGGGGCAGCTAAGGCACCAGAGGATCTTATCCAAGTTCTGACCCCCAAAGCATAAGGATATCTCAAAGAGACAGAGGCAATTTGGTTAGCGGCAGACAGGAAGTCGTTCAGAGTTCAACCACCTTCCTGAAGATCGTGAAAGGCCGCGATTAGAACCGAGGCCAGAAACAAAGCCGTATTCCAAGCGCGGTGCCCTCCTGCGTGGAGTCTTTGGGTCAGAAATGAGGGGGCGGATTAGTTTAGATCCTCAGGGCAGGGGACCAGCTGAGATCTGGAATGAATCAGGTGTGCCTCTGAGCATGCGAAGAGAAGCATTTTCCTCATCCACACCTCCTCCCCACCTGGAAGTCCAGGGGACACTGCAGTGCCTTCCGTGGAGGCTGGAACCTCAGAACTTCTCACAGCGGGAAGCTGCTGGAAAACACTGGCAGACGCTTGACCTGTGCCAGGAGACACCAACAGTCACGTGGCCAGCTACAGTGCCGAACCCCTGCACAGAAAATGGGACCAGGGCTGGAGCTCTGGTGCAAGTTAAACCCACAGGAATGGTGAACAAGCAGCCACGTTTCATGGTGATTCATTCCAAAGGCCTCTGCCCCAGAGGCATCTTTTCGGTTGGTGTTTAGTAGATTTGTTACTCACAGCTTCTGTTCTGGTTCTTAATTTTGTAGTACAGGTACAGGGAGATCATGAGGAGGTCAGCGAGGACATAGTAGATGGCCGTGTAAACCTGCGGGAGGGAAAGGCACCGTTAGTAGAGCGAGGCGGGCAGACCGGACCGAAGAGATCCGGGGTTCTCCACC